TATGGAGTGAAATTGTCATCCACAATTCTAAGGTTTATCTGATTCATCACTTATCAATCCTTTCTTTGCACCGGCAAGTTTTTCCGTGCTCATGTAGTTCCATTCCTCAAAATCCTCAACAAGCTTGCTCTTACCCGGGCCTTCGTAGTGAACACATATCCAGAAAAGCACCCAGAAGAACGACTCAAGATCATGCATGAATGAGTGCTTCTCCCCATACAACACACCGATCGCCATGAAAGCTCTGGTGCCAGTCTTGCCCCGTGTTCCTGAGAACCCGTCGCGTTGCGTTCGGATGGCAAGGTCAAGGTCAATCAAGAAGGACCGCCATGAAGGGTTGTCATCATCTTCATTGACCAAAAGATTTTGCGGCGAGATATCACTTTGAATCAACCCAGCCTTGGAGTACAGGGATTCATATCCTACAATGCAGCCTTCCATTCCAACAAGTAGAGCCACTCTTGAGCTGCTTTCATAGATAGGCTTCCCGTAATCTCGAACAATGACGCGACGGTGCACTCGATTTGGAGGGCTACTGTCTGCAGGACGCTTTATTGGAGAGCTGGACTGGGTACGTTTGCTGGGGGGAGAGCGAAGTATTGTGTCCACACAATCAGAAGACCGTTTCTGCCCGATGGTGCTGCTTCGGCTGGTACAGCCTCTATTAGATGCACTCCTCCTCAGGGCCACCTGCAAGCTACCCTTCTTGGATTTCGACGTAGTGACCTCTAGACCCTTTCGAATAGTATGCACATCATCGTCCTTGCCGTCCACCTGGACAGTTTCGTGGAAATCATATCGAGCAACGCGCGTGGCTCCCCTCTCCATCGCCTCTTGTAGCAGTTCCCCTTCCTCATGGCGCTCCGGATACTGCCAAGAGTCCTTGATTACCAGGGGGATCCGCGACTTGTCTGTTTCGCGATGAGCTTTCCAGCAGGTTGTGGCTCGGCCCGCGACACAGCGTGCCCGTAGAATCACCTCATCAATCACTAGATGCTCCTTCTTACCATCGCGCTGAATCTCAATGTAGCGCTGACTGCCTACTGTGACAATGGTCGGATCAAAACCAAGCTGCTGTTGGTCCATGAAAAGGAATCCCAGGATCACCATGATGAACTGAAAGCCATCCTTGTTGATGTTGATCTCCTCCGAGCCGATCCCGCCGCAACGGTCGAATTCCCAGACACGCAGGAGCGGCCCGCACAGTGTGAAACCAAGGACAAAGCGGCGGTTGTCCTGCGCGGATAGCACTTCTCGGGCATATCTGGGCCAGATCGAGTCTCGCCCCAGAAGGCATGTCATACTTTCGGTCATTCTTCAGTTCTCCCGGCACCAGGATCTGTGACCACTTGCCACTGTTTGTCCTGTGGTGGTGACCCGGATCATCCACAAATCCAATGTCGAGTTTCGCTTTGCGATGGATCCGGCAATCGGCTGAGCAGGCTGGGCCAATGGCCTGCGGACGACTGTTCTAGTTGGATTGTGATCTTCCGCAAACTGCACAAGCTGGTTGATGGTTTCAGTTAGCCAGTCCAGTACAGGCTTCTCATCTGCATTGCTAGGCCAATCCTTCCATCCACTCTCCTCGCTGTAGATGGGACTGTCACCAGACTTGCAGTTCTCAAACACGGTCTGCGCGGTCGATCTGAGCCCCTCAATATCATCAAAATAAGCGGCATAAAACCCAGGAATATCCGCATGAAGGTCTCCCAACAGTTCCTCCCTCAGCATGTGATCAATGTTTGTTCAAAGCTCAGATGAGTTGGCGAGGCTGCTGGTGTTGCGCGAGCGCGGGGTCTGTAGAATAGGCAGTGATGACCTGGGAGGAGGTGTGGACCTTTCAGCATGTGTGACCGCGGTGATGAAGTTGAAGACAGCTTTCCAGATGTCGGTGTCGGGTGCACTTTGTATGATGGGTTGGATGAGTGGTCGGTAATGGTCATAGCTGTAGTTGCTTTCTCGAAGGCAAGTCAATAATTTCGCGAGTTCTGATATGACATCCTGGCTGCTTGTTGGTGGACGGAGATTATAGGCTGCCTTTTCATCCATCAAAGCAATTAGAACCTTCGATATTTTCATTTGATCTGTTTGATCGGGATCACCAGCAACACCATCGTAGGATTCCAAGTGAGGCTGCTCTGTCCCTTGAAGCAAGCCACGTAAGCGATCGAGTGATCTTAGAGGGTATTTCTCAATCAAAGTAATCTCATCTAATGATAACTCTACCATGCTAGCAATAGAAAATCTATAAGGCTTGGATTGATGTTGACGAAAAGAGTGTTGGAGGATGAAGTTAAAATTTGGACAGGCCAAACCTTGAGGTTTTTTTATTCTCGACCGAGGTGGAACTGGCTGATATTTATACATGTAAGAATATTAGTTTCAGATTCTGTTGAACTATCCGTTCGATAAATGACATTATTGGCTGAGTGATAATCAACAATTCTACTTTTTTATTCTTACATGTATTTATATAAATCAGTCTCCCTTGTCTTTTATACCCATGTCTACCATACAAGTTTTGAAAGATGCCCTTTCTTGCCTCGGACGCGTATGGTTCCTAAGATGCATCTTAGCTATTGGATAAATAAGCCGTTGCCCGTACCAACCACCACGACGACCCTCGCCCCCACGATCAACGCGAGGATGGAGCCCCAGTTGGAACCCGAATCGGCTCGACTCAGTATGAGAGAGTCCAGCCTTGAATCAGAGAATGAGCAGGGAAAAGAGTACAGTACCCCTTGACGAAAAACGCAGTCAAGGGCCTACTATGGAGCAAGCACTGGCAGGATGGGAGAAATTCAAGCCTAAGATGGATGAGGAACCAACTAAGATGTCTGCTGTTGTTAATAAAGAAGTTAATGCGATAGCAATGATAGATTCTGGTTGCTCTTCTTATGGAATCATTTCCTCTTGTTTTGCTACGAAGTGCTAGCTCCCGCGTATCTCTATCATTCCCCGTGATGTGGAAGGTTATAGCGGTGAGGTCTACGAAGAAATAACGGAAGTAGCCTGTCTTGAGCTTGACATCGCAGGATATGTGCAAATGAAAGCTTACATGTACATTGTTAAGAACTGCGGAGAAAGCGATATGCTCCTAGGTGGTCCCATGGTTGAATGAATCTGGTGCCATCCCGGATTGCCGCGCGAGAACTCTGCGCTTCGACTCAGGTATTGTGGTCCAGGAAAACGCGCACCGAAAAATGGAACTACCTCAGATCTCTACGATTGCCTACGCACGATATGTCCAACGGAACCGGAAAGATACCACCAGTGTGTTTGCCCCCAGCTTGGCCGATATTCAAATGGCCCTACTTGTCAAGAAGCACTCCAACTCAGTAGAGAAGCTACCTAAGCACTACCACGAATTCTTGGAAGTCTTCAGCAGAGAAGCTGCAGACAGGCTGCCACCACTACGCGGGCCCAGTGTGCACCACTCAGTAACTCTGGAAAAGGTTGATAGAAAGGATGTCGCCCCCCCCCCCCTCTATAAACTACTGGTACTACGGAAAACGCTCAACGAACTTCTTGAAGAGGGTTTCAATAGGGTGAGTAAATAACTCCCCTGCGGTAGCCCCGGTCTTGTTTGCGGAGAAACCTGGTGGAGGCCTGCGCTTTTGCGTGGACTACCGCGGACTCAACGCCCTAACAAGGAAAGACCGATATCCGCTGCCCTTGATCAACGAGACTCTGGAACGGATCGGGCGCGCTAAGTGGTTTACGAAGATGGATGTTATCGCCGCCTTCCACAAGATTCGCATCGCTGAAGGAGACGAATGGATGACTGCTCTCCGAACACGCTATGGACTCTATGAATGGTTGGTTACTCCCTTTGGTTTGGCTAACGCCCCAAACACGTTTCAAAAGTTCATCAATTGGACCCTGCGCGAGTACTTGGATGAGTTCTGTTCAGCGTATATTGACGACATACTGGTTTTCTCTTCTGGAAGTTTATAGCAACATCGGGATAACGTCAGGAAGGTCTTGACCAAGGTGAAAGAGGCCGGCCTTCAACTGGACATCGACAAGTGCGAGTTTGAGGTAACCTCGACCATGTACTTAGGTTTCATCATTGAGGCGGGCAAGGGGATCCGTATGGACCCCGACAAGGCTAAGGCTATCAAGGAATGGACGGGCCCCAAGACGACCAAGGGTGTACGAGGATTCTTAGGCTTCGTGAACTTCTACCCACGGTTTATCAAGAACTTCTCCAAGATTGTACCCCCCCTAGTGGAACTAACGAAAAAGGACACGGCTTTCAGATGGACGGACCAAGCGGACCAGGCTTTCGAAGATCTCAAGGACATGTTTCTATCGGCACCCATGCTTCTGCAGTTTGACCCGAAACGGACCACGGTTGTTGAAACGGACTCATCTAGCTACGTAACTAGAGGAGTGCTGTCCCAATACAACGACAAAGGAGTCTTGCGACCGTGTGCCTTCTACTCCAAGAAGAACTCGCCGGCGGAGTGCAACTATGAGATACACGATAAGGAGTTGCTCGCTATCATACGCTGCCTAGAGGAGTGGCACTCGTGCTTACGGAATACTGGACGCTTCAAGGTCATCTCGGACCACAAGAACTTGAAGTACTTTATGACCACTCGACGCTTAAATGAACGACAGGTCAGATGGGCAGAGTTCTTAAGCCGCTCTGACTTTGAGATCAACTTCCGCCCAGGAAAGGACAACGCCACCTCCGACGCCCTGTCACGACGAGAATAGGATATGCCCAGCGGAATGGATGACGAACGCCTGAAGCATCGGGAATTCCAGCTGCTGAAGTCTGAAAGTCAACGCAGGTTACACGTCAACTGACCCCTCGCGTAGGTCAGTTGACCGCGCTAGTGCTAGTGAGCTGACCCAAGTCAAAAAATGAGTCAGCTGAGATTAGAACTGAGATGAGATTTTACATTCTTGTACATTCTAATAAACACAGTCAAAATAAATACATAAGATTCTTTTATTATTAATGATAATAGAGATGTGTTTTGATCTTGATTTAAATCAATATAATTTATATGAGAAGTATACAGAAGTTGTCAATGAAAACACAGTATATATTATTAATAATTCACTATTACTTAATCAGTTGCTGATCAGTTAGTTATTTTATAAATATATTATATTAACTAATTAGCAAAGTATAAGCATACTTTTAATATAGAAAATTAAGTATGTAAATCTGATTTCTGAATACTTTACAATCTCATTTAAACTGACTGATAAGACTATGAATTTCACATTTAATTTTATTTAATTTAATTTCATACATTTCTTGACATGAATTTTATCAGAACTGAGTATTAAAAAAATCTAAAAATGAATCACTTTTTTCAGAAATGATGTGAAAAATAATCAGATTTAACTTAAAAATAGTGAAATAAAAGTATTATTATTATTATTATTCTTTTATTATAAATGTATACAGTCAGAGACTATAATATTTAGACTGACTTTGTAATTATATCTGAGATCAGAATTAGAATATTTAATAGTCTTATTATTAATTTAATTAATCTTATTACACAGTATTAAGATTAAATAGTAGTCTTATACTATTTTAGTAAGACTTACTATTTACTAGACTGACTACTGAAATCATGAATTTCATATTTAATCTCATTTAATCTGATCTTATACATTTCTTAGCATGAATTCTGCTGAGACTAATCATTAAAAAAACATATAAAGTAACTATTTATCAGATTTTAAAATGAGATCATGACTTAGAAAAAATAAGAAAGTGATTTCATTTAATTTTATTTAGTCTTATTCTTGATATAAAGTTACTATTTTTAGACATTTTAAGGTTTTTTTCAGACTATTTTTAATTTTTTAAAAAGTAACACTTTTTGATAACACTCAAATGAGATTTAAAGTCATTTCAAGCAATAAAAAGAATTTAAATTAAGAAGTGAAAATCATGATCTTATTTGAAAAATATAATAAGAGTGTGATTCAAAAGTTACTTGAGTCAGTATAAGATTACTAGCGTACACCGGCTTCTTATATGTAAATTAATTAGCAGCTGCTAGAGCTTCTGTACATTTATAAGCTTATTCAGAAGTAGCTGTGTTATTATCTGATAATTGTACTAAACTGACTGTGTGACCGTGTCTGAGACCAGAATCAGATTTTTTAATAGTCTCATTATCAATTTGACTGATCTCATTACACAGTTTTAACATTAAATAGTAGTCTTATACTGTCTCAGTGAGACTTACTGTCTACTCTTATCACATTTGTCAAATAAAATCATGATTTTCACTTCTCAATTTAAATTATTTTTATTGCTTTAAATGACTTTAAATCTCATTTAAGTGTTATCAAAAAGCATTACTTTTTAAAAAATTAAAAATAGTCTAAAGAAAACCTTAAAATGTCTAAAAATAGTAACTTTATACTAAGAATAAGACTAAATGAAATCAAATGAGATCACTTTCTTATTTTTTTCAAGTTATGATTTCATTTTAAGATCTGATATATAGTCACTTTGCATGTTTTTTTAATAACTAGTCCCAGTGAGATTCATATCAAGAAATGTATAAGATCAGATTAAATGAGATTAAATGTAAAATTCATAATCTTAGCAGTCAGTTTAGATTGTACATTCTTCTGAATTACATTCTTTCTCATCAGATTCAGTCACACTTATGTAATTATAATATAAGCTCTAGCTTCATGCAGATTAGCGTGCTGTTAATATTTATAATTATACAGTCTATCTCTGATTTGACTAGTATTCTGCTTACACTCTTATAAAGAAGCTTTCACTATATTATATTACTTATTTACTAACTTTTTCATTCTTTAATGATTATTCTCATTCTCATTATTATCATTATTAAATATTATTATCTTATACAAGATTTCTGTTCTCTCTTTATCAAGCTCTTTTCAATTTGTTTATCTATTTCATTATATACATTTCTAGTAATAATCTCTCATTCTTATAATAAGTATTATTATAGTGCTTATACTAGGCAGTTTATTAGCAGTAAGTGAAATATATTATAAAATATGACCAGAACTTGTTTTTCTAATAATTATCAGAATATATTACTATGAATAGTATATCTTCTTTATCTTTTTATATACTCTCAATTCTTTCTTAGAAGGCATCTGATTGTGTTTTTCTAGTATGATTTTTATATGAATACAGATGCTGATTTATTATTTTTATTTATATAGAATCTTTATATATTGTCAGATCTGTATCTAGACTGATCACTAAGATTATGAATTTCATATTTAATCTTATTTAGTCTGATTTCATACATTTCTTGATATGAATTCTGCTGGAACTAATCATTAAAAAAACATGCAAAGTGACTATATATCAAATCTCAAAATCAGATCATGACTTAGAGAAAATAAGAAAGTGATCTCATTTATTCTCACTCAAGACACTGTGTGAGCATTTATAGAATTGAAACAAGCTTTTTCAGATATCACAATACTGAATCACTTTAATCTCAACTTACTCAGTCAGTGTGAGGCTGATACATCTGAGAATGAAGTCTGTGAAATCTTTTCACAGTTGACACTGAAGACCTTTCAATGTTGAAAGAATTGAGAAATAATAATCTCTGAGAATACAGATAATGAAATGTCTGTGAGAGAAGACTTTTTCACAGAGTCTATAAGATATTATGAATGAAAATCAGTGATCTTCTTCTTCAAGAAGTTATTACTTATGCAGAGAAGATATAATACTTATAATTAAGAGATATTAGTAATTGTTAAATTCTTTAAGATCTGATGATATTATCTTCAGAGTAGTAAGTATTCAGTGCAAGTTCTCACTGATTATATAAATCTATGTTACTTCTTGATAACAAAGAGCTTGATAAGATATTAAGTCAGATAAGTGAAGCTGCTTTCAGAGTATAATTTCTATATCTGATATTATTCAGATCAGCTCAATCTCACTGATATACTATTTAAACAGCTTGATTATAATATTGTTAATAAAGAGAAGAATTCTATAAAAGAATCTCTGTCATCACTGCAGAAGAAGCTGACTGTAGAGAGTTGAAGTTTTCTGAAGCTCAGAAACAGCATCAGTAAGATAGCTGCATAACTCAGTATAGAAGATGAAAGAAAACTCAGATTCTCACAGAGAACTGACACTGAAGATTATAAGCTTATTATATCATATCTTACTATTATTAAATTGATAAAGAATGAAATAATCTATAATCTCTCAATCTGACTACTTTTGAAATTTATTGATAAGTTATAGAAGAAGAATATCTCTACTATAACTTGAATTCAGAAGTTGAAGAAGAAAGAATCTGATTTAAACTTGAAAGAGATAGACTCTGAGCAGAACAGTGCTGCTAAGAAATCAAGTTACTGATAACTAGAAGAATGTGAACTTCTACTGCTGAATGATTCAGTCTTTGTCTCTTATAACAGAGCAGTGTATCAGAAGTTATTGAGAATTTATTATAATAATTCTCATGTGAGACACTTTAGATTAGAGAAGACTGAGAAGCTTTTAAAATATAAATATATTTAAAACAAGCTCTGAGCAGATATTAAAGAGTATATTAAGACTTATAATATCTATCAAAGAATAAAGATTCTGTGATATAAGTAATACAGTGAGTTAGTGTTACTATCTATTTCAAAGAGCTTATAACAGAATCTATTAATGAATTTCATAGTTAATCTGCTAAAGTTAATAAGAGTTAAAGAATATGATATAATTTTAATTATTATTAATCATTTCATAAAGATGATAAAATATATCTTTATTCATAAAAAGATTAAAGCCTCTGAATTGACTGACCTGTTTTTAGATATTATTATTTATGATCATGATGCTCTGAAATTGTTAATAATAGATTAAGAATCTCTCTTCATCAGTAAATACTGATCAGCTTTTTACTATTATCTTATAATAAGATATCTTCTCAGTATTACATTTCATCTGCAGACAGATGATCAGACTGAATATCAGAATCAGACATTAGAACAGTATTTTTAAGTGTTCTATTTATATTATTAGAATGATTAGTCTAAACATCTTCTGATTACTGAATTTATGTATAATAATATAAAGAATGCAATCTTAAAAGTATCTTCTTTCTATGCTTATTATAAATATAATTCTTCATTATTCAGTGATGTTATGAATGACATTTCAAAGAGAAGAATAGACAGTCAGAATATTAAATAGATACAGAGAACAAAGTATTTCTCAGTATTAGAAGTAAAAGTGAGATTGAAACTTTTAAATAAAACTCATGAGAAGATAGTGAAAAGCATTCATTATACTCAGAAATGATAGATAAAATACTATAATTGAAAATATCTTTCAATGAAGTTCTTGATAGAGAATTAAGTACTACTTTCAGCAAAGAATATCAAGATAATGAGACTGTGTAAGAAGCTCAGTAAGTAGTGACTAGAAATCTTTCTCAGTAATAAGAGTAATGAATAAACAGATATATAAGTTGAAATTATTCTCAGAATTGAAATCAATTCATTCTATTTTTCACATTTTCTATTTGAAGCTCTATAAGTAATGTCTCAGAGTAAAGCTGCCTCAGCTGAATAATATTAAAATTGAGAGTGATATTAAATATCTTGTAGAGAAAATATTGAATAAGTGAATATATTATAACAAGCTTCAATATCTTATTAAATGAGAAGATTATTCATTATTAGAGAATTTATAAGAATCACTTAAGCATTTGAAAAATGCTGAGAAAGAGATTATAAGCTATGAAATGACTAGTAGAGACTGCTCCATTACATATTAGAGACATTGAGTAAGAAATACTACTTAAGACTTCTTATTTTTCTTAAAGAGTTTTTTAGAGATAATCTTGCAGTGATAAGCTGATATCTTATGAACTCTGTAACACTCTTCTTCTATTTTCTCTCAAAGAATTTTTAGAAGTTTAATAAGACTAAACAAGTGTAAAATTTCTGAAGTAGTTAAGAGAAAGAGATATTTGAAATTAATAAGATTAATATTATCAATCTGCAGATCACTGCTATTCTAATAGAGCTACAGTCTGCAGAAAAAGTAAAAAGAGAAATCAGAGCTTACTTATTAATAATTATATTCTTATCAAACTTATTCTTCACTGTTAAAGTCTTCAGTACTAATATCTTTATCTACTGAGAAGTTAGTACTGTAGCACTGCAGAAGAGTATGAGAGATATATAAAGTATTAACTTATCAATTTATAAAGCATCTCAGTTATCTGCTTCAATTGAAGTGAGATTCTCTTTAATCAGTAATTAGTCTTCACAGCACTTTCAATGACAGCACTGACTGACTTCTTCTTCTTAAAGTCAGTCATTCTGAGGTGTTTCTTTATCTTAAAGACTCATACTTTCATCTTCTTTTATAGATAAGTAAGAGAGATCTTCTCAGCCTTGATAAAATCTATCAATACTTGAAGCTTCAAGACTCTTACTCTGTACTACTTGAGCATCTGAGCTTCTTGTCAGAACTGATACAATGTCTTCTTGTAGAGTAGATAATACTTACAGAGAGATAGAAGTTATTGTTACAGATGTAATGAAAATAATAAGAGTGAGAGAAGAAATAGATATATAAAATCTCTTCTTTCTTCAGCTGCTTAGTGCAGTGTAAGTATATAACAGTGCTAATCAGAGACTGTATCAGAGCCTTCTTACAGAGAGAAGATAAAGAAACTACAGAACTCTGTGAACTCAACTCAGCAGTATTCTGAGTGAAGCTTGAATGTGTTATGAGAGAGAAACTACAGATTGAGCTTCTCAGAGTCACTGTCTCTGAAATCAAGCTCTCTCTGAGATTCTCTCTGAATGATCACATAAGGTCATATATCACTATATTAACTGAGAGAAGAAACAGTATTACAACAGCAGTGAGAGAGACAGAGAAAGTACTGATTATAAACAAACTGACTAGCAGAAGAGATAATGTAAGAGATGTACGCCGAATAGATCAGTATAATATATAGATCTTATATAACAAAGTGAAAAATGTTAGAGAAGAAAAGAAAGAGAAAGTGTGAGAATCAGCAATCAGAGTGAATATTTATACATATACACAGTAGTATACGCGGTGAAGCTTCAGAGCAGAAGAATAGGAATTCTGTAGATTTTCAGCTGAGAATCAGCAACTGAGAATCAGAATAATAGAAATCTGTGAAGTGTAATGAAATAGTCTATATAATTGATCAGGCGCAGCCTGCCACATTAACCTCTTCTTTTCAAAAGTGATATAGAGTTATAAGCATGTAGTTCTCATCAGTCAAGAGCTGCTGTCTCAGATAACACAGAGCTCAGAGTTCAGATCAGATAATTGTAGTTAACTCATTTCACAAGATATTGTCAGTCACAGCTGCAGAGTCTCTTATCAAGAATATCTTCAATCTCTTACTCAAGTTCATTGTCTTCTTCTATGATTCCTGATAACTGCTAATCAGAAGTCAGTTGAGAAGAAAACAGATCAGTGACAGCATGACAGAGTAAGCTTGTATAAAAGATATTATGAATCTCTGATGATGTATTAAGACAGTAATTATGACTGTCTAGAACTTCTATCACTTTATATTTAACATGATAGTAATTCAGTGTACAAGATGAGTATATAATTTGTATATTCTTAAGATTTAATCACATCAGATCTTCTATCATATATTAATATTATTATTATTATTCTTCAATTATAGATGTATGCAGTCAGAGACTATGACATCTACCTGAGAACTTTTAGTTCTCAGGGTTTTTCCTATATCTGTAAAGTTAACTATTATACATTCATCAATTTCAGATATGCAAAATCAGAAAATTCCAGCTCAGAATACAAAAACTGTTTACAAATTGCAGTGTTTTAACATCTTCTGATACTTTGAAATCATTTGACAATATCATGACAAAGGAAAAGAGAAAAAGAACACAGTCTTAAAGATAGACATATTAAATAGATAGATAGAAAGAAATTGAAAGGAAAAGATAAAGTAAAGAGAGACTGTAACAAAACAAATTATTAAAAGATAGTGTATAGCTGTTTTAACAGACTATATCTGATTGATTTCCTCCTCTTCATATTCAGATAATTCTGAATTTAGCCATTTTCTTGTAGCTGCTTGAGTTTCTGATAGAAAGTCTATTAAGTATTTAATTCCTGTCTTAGTTGAGAATAAGAATCTCATATTTAATTGATTTAGATCATACTTCTCTTTCAATCTGGCTCTGAGACTATTGTATAATACACAGTGCATTACAATATACTCAGGATTCTCATTTGCATTGCAGAATGAGCATTCTATTGAGTCAAATCTATCATCAAATCTTTGTATATAAGATTTGAAATAGTCATGTCCTAGTTTCAGCTATATTATAGATGAGAATATTTTCTTTTTACATTTAATTGAACAAGATTTCCACTTGGGTTTTATTTCAAATCTTGAATAATGTATACTCTTCTTTTATTTCTGCCAGCTTTCATTTCACTTGTCTAAACAAGATTCTTTTATTTTTCTCTTTATAAAAGACCAGGACACAATTTTTTGAATAGATCTGCTTAATTCTGCACTCTTTTTTACAGCTGAATCAGTCAATTCATTGTCATGAATATTCATATGAGCAGGAACTCAGTGCAGATGAATTATCAGCTTTGATATTCTTCTCTTTTGAATTTTTAAAACAGAGTTTAAGATCAGTTCAAGATTCATTTGACTATTATAAATCTGACTATTTCTAAGTCTTTTTAAAGTAGCTTGACTATCAGAGAATATTCATATCTCTTTCAAACTATTTCCTCTTTTATAAGATTTTATTTCTATGAATTTGCAAGCTTTCACTATTACAAATAGTTCAGCATCAAAGACTTCAGATTCACAGCCTAGATTTCAGAAATCTGAGATAAAATTGATATTATCTTCAGTATAAGCAATGTCTGCACCTAATCTATTCAGATTCTCATTTTTTGAGTCATCTGAATAAATCAGAATAGAGTCTTTTATATTGATTATAGAAATTCTCTTCAAATACTGTTCATATTCTTTCTCTTTTAATAGTTCACTTATTTGTAAGTCTATAAGAGATTCAAGCTTTTCTCTCCAGAGAGATAACTTCTCATGATCTACTTTTTCAACATTTAAAGAAGAAAATTGATTTTTAATCAGAGAGCATAGTCTGTAAAGTTGAGAAGACATTTTCTTTGAAGAATTATTTTCATTTCAATCAAGAAATCTATTCTAATCCAGTTCATTTTCAGAGTTAATTGATGAAAATGAAGAAGAGACTCTTTCTCTGATTATATGATTTAAGCTTATCTTTATAACTCTCAGCATATAGTTCATACAGGCCTTTTGAAATCTAATAGCAGAAGAAGGAATTGAAGCTTCAATTTTCATTGCTTTAATAGGAGATGATTTGAATACTTCTAGAATTCTTCTCAAGACTCTGTTTTACAGACTTTGAAAGAGTGCAGTGAAATTCTCTTGATTATTTTATTAAACTTGAACTTCATAATCAGCTACTGATGTAATACAGGCTACATATAACTGTTAACCGCTCCACCACGAACTCGCTCGATTTTTCGAATAAGAACCCGCCGATAGATCCATCGAAAAGCCCTCGATCATACGAGCATTTTGACCCCATCGCCGACCGCATACCCCGTGTGGTGGTGGAGTTATCCAGCCAAACGTGAACCAGACGTCGTTCGGAACTCCTGCGTGGGATTATCCCCCATTCTCCCCTACCACACCACAACCCCGGGCCAAATTGCCATACAAATTGTAAGGTGAAGAGACCTAGCCGTATGCACCAATCTTCTCGATTTTGGAAGATCCCCGATCTGTAGTTGTGGAGATATCTGAGGTGCGACCTCCGCGAAAACCCTGTCCATCTTTGATGTTCCAAAACACCAACGCCAAGTCCCACCCTCGTACCGCCCTTCCCAATCTGGCCCATCCCCGGCAGAAAAATACAAAAAGATACCTCGGCGATAATATCAAGCACATAATCAACGGATAATGAGTCAACAGCACATCAACAACTATAAAATCAGTATACCCCAAGGTCTGACTGAGCCTTTGATCCCTGCACAGTGAGATATATTAAATCTAGTTTTAATACCTCAATATTCAATAGATTCTGCAAGGGATTGAGAACAGCAACACTAGGTTTCTATTGAATTTGAGAATTAACTCTATATTGATATAATCATTGACAAAGTCTTCTATTTTGAGATATAAATAACCAGTTCCTCTACATCCTGCTGGCAATATTTACATTATTATATAGAAACAGACTTATATTCTCTATAATATCAAGACTCTGAAGAGGAAAAGTCTTGATAGAGAGTATACAGTAGTGTATATCTTAGCAGTTTCTATCTCATTCTTCTGCAGCAGTTAATGCAAAAAAAAAAAAAAAGATCTTAGAAATAGTTTTTTACTTCTCTTGAAAAAGTAAGGTGTTTTTCTCTGGATTTTACACAATATTCTTACAAAGAATTAAAAACAGAGTTGTTTTCTGTTATAATTTCATATTCTTTTAAGTAAGAATTACTTTTTCAGTGGCTGAAGAGCTTTCATTAATACTTAATTCTTTTTTACACTCTTTATTAACTGATTTGAGTTGCACACTTGTTGTGTGAGAAGAATTGAATGATTTAGAATAAAATTGAATAGTTTTAATCAATTTCTCTGCAAAAAATTGATTTATTTTTTGTCAGTTTTTCTCTCAAAAACTGTCATATCATCTGATTTACTATCAATTGATATCATACTTTTCCTCACTGTATCTCAAGAAGGAGATTGTAAAGATTTTATTGATTTATCTTAAAAATCAATTTTAGTTTATTAGATTCTCTTTAAAAATCTAACCTAGTTACTGAACTAGAGTGAAAAAAATCAGGTGTTTTATACACAAAAGTCTGCTATTCTTCTTTTGAAATAGTCTGACTAACTTTTCAATTGAAAACAGACTTAGAAATCTCTTAATTGAAACAGTCTGATCAACTTCTCAATTCAAAAGAGTTTAATAAATATCTCAATTGAATTAGTCTGATCAACTTTTCATTGAGTAAGAACAATGAGTTCAAAAGTACACTCAGTTGATATGGAAAAAGATGCTTTCTCAAATGCTATTCCTGAGATTGAAATTCTGAAGAGAAGAAAGAAAGAAGAAATAGAGAAACAACAAGTTCTTGAAATACAGAAACTTGAAAAAGTAAGTAAAATTCTTGAAAAGCAGTGTCTGAGTGAGATGAATGAAGAAGTTCTGTTAATTCTTCATACTCAGGCTAGACAACTACAGGAAGTGATCAAGTTCAAACTTGGAATTTCAAACACAGTTCAAAAAACTTTGAAAATTCCTAATACAATCACTGACTCTTCAGTTTGCTTGTCTTTCTTTTCTACTTCTTCTTCTTCTTCTTCTTTAAATCAGAAGAAAACATATGCTCAAGCAGCTGAATCTGCTGTCTCTAAATCTGCTATCTCTAAATCTGCTATCTCAAAACCTGCTCAAAATTCTGAGAAAACTGAGAAGAATACTGCTCATACTTCTATTCATAGAAGAGTGAAGAAAAGAATATAAAAAGAGAAAAATCTTCAAATCTTCAAATATAGAAGACTTATTCTCAAAGTCTCAAATCAGAATATATTGCAGAGAAATAAGCTAAACTCAAACCTCATTTTCAGAATTAGAAATGAAATCAATCAGCAGTTCTTTTCTCAGTTAATGACTGATATTGAAGTTCAAAAATCAGTTATAGCTTCAATTGAGTTATTCTTCTTTGAAAACTCTATCATTCTGACTACAATGT